TGTGTGTGTGTGTGTGTGTGTGTGTGTGTGAGAGAGAGAGAGAGTGACACTTGATGTTCTTGTGAGCCTCAGTTGAAGAGCTGTGAGTTTAGGTCACGGTATCCTGTTGGTTTTTTCCTCCATCTTTTAAAAGATGTTATTTTGGAGCAGGTCCGTTCTTTGCCGTCAGTGTTTGAGGACAGAAAGACGAGTGATTTGTTTGATTTGTTTCAGTCTGCTGGAAAACACCTGCTGTGGAGCTTAAGTTCAGTTTTCAGAAGTTTGAGCTTCATCCTTCAGTACCTCTTTAAAAACCAGTGAACTTTGAATTCTTAAGAATATTCAAACACTGGAATTGGAATGTGAAAAAAACTAAATAAATAAAACATTTATAACATAAAACTGCACAACCAAAGCCATAAATAAAATGGACTTTCGGGCCTCTGTTAACAAAAATGTGCAATGTCTGCATGATGCTACAGTCTTAATATTGTCTGTTAATAACTGTTCATTCTGACATGTTGACGAAAACGTTGTTGATGTTCTTATATAAACAAACGAAACATCGAGGTCAGCCAAACGATTGAGGTCTTGCGCAATGTGTTGACAACGTAAAAACGATGGTGGTCCCGTCCATATATAGTGTGATGAGTGGATAATGTAACCGTAGGCTGTGTTAATAGTGACAGACCTCTTGTCCATCAAACAGCTCTGTGAGCTCAGCCAAGCTCAAGTTCACGTCATGTGCCGGTTGTTTTTCTTTTGCTGGCTCCTGTTATTTTTACTGTAGTTTGATTGATTGATTTTTCCCCCACCTGCATTCCACGAGGACCCACCCTGCTGTGATTCTCATTGGCTGGCACTCGTTGGATTTTTGTTTCGCAGAATTTGTCGCATTTATTGCTAATGAACCAAATTCGTGCAAGGTTGGTAGGCTTAATGGTTTCAACTCAGATGTGGATGTTTTTATCAGGATGGCAGCTTTATTGTTTAGCGCTCTCGTATATAATTACAATGTCCTGAATTTGTGGAAATAAATGTATTTTACAATATTGAACGTTGTCTCTATGGATGATATAAATGACAGATCCGTTGCAGATTAATATTTAGATGTGGTGTCATAATTAAACTTATTGTTAACCATAATGTCGATATGGCACCCTGATTAACAAGGACATTTAGAAAATGGCACGTCATATCAAAAAGGTTGGCAGAAATTAAAGTGGAGAAATTAAAATGTTGACCTGATGATGGCGTTGGATAAAAGGTGACATCATCACCAAAGTAATACAATTGGATATGGAGCCTCCTGCTGTGTCGGTGCTGTTTTGAGTCTTTGAGTGACAGAACTGCTGCAGGCAGTCGTGATAAACAAGTCAACATTATGCAGAGCGATTGCTGCGGTGATGAATTAAAGCGTGACAGTTCGCTGGGACTGAATGAGTGTAGCAACACCAAATTGTTGGAAAGATTCAGTAGGATTGATGCAGTAAAGACGAGCGTGGTCTTGACAAAGTCCCACAGTGTGGCAGACGTTAGACTAAAGAGTGCTACATAATAAGAGCCTAATAGCTGGTGTGCATTGTAAATTAATTGATTTAAAATGGCCCCGGAAAAAACACTAAAATTCTACTAAAAATCGCATTGAAATGGCAATAAGTGCACTCTAGAACTAGCTGATATCTTACTATATGTGTACTTGTTTTATTCAAAGTGGCAGCCAGTGTTTCTGTGTAGTTTTTATTCATTCATTTGCAAAATATACTTCATGAAATTATGATTTAACAGCTCATAGAGACGTGTTAAAGAAGACTAGATAAGAGATAAAAAGGGTATTATATTTGATGAGACTGACGTTCTTCAGACGACATGTTTAGGAGGATGATCTCCTGCTGCATACTTTAAATTCTGCCTGAGTGTCGGCTAATGGACGGGCAGCAGAGCTCGAGGTGACGCAGTTCTGAAAACACTGAACTCAGCACATTGAAATCCGTCCTGTGATGGACGATGTCGCTCTGTGGAAGTTATTGGTCACGCTGAAGGAGAACCTTTATCTGCAGAGAACCTGTGCTGTTGATGGCAAATGTAGAAACAAACCTCCTTTTTTAGATGGTTGGCTTATTCTTTGAGGTGACTTTTATCCAATTCACTTAGCTAAGATCTGGCCTTGAGCTCAAAGCAGCAGTCACTAATAAAAGTACTTTTATTCTTCATCTTAATCTACGTCTTCCTCTTTAGATTCATATAAACTGCCAGGGTTTTATTACTTCACTTTACCGTCTGTAGTCGAATGGCTTTGATCTCCTTTGTGTTGCTTCTTTGTTGATTTGTTCCTCAAGTAGAAACCTAATATGACATAACAACCAGGATTAAGTTGCACCAGCTATTTGTTAATCCGTGACTGTTTGTGTGTAAAGTTTTCTAAATATGTAGAAACTACCAGCTATTATTATTATTATTATTATTATTATTATTATTATTTGCTGACTTTATGCGGGTAAATCTCCACTTTAGTCAACTTGTAATAAATAGATAAGGCTGAGATAGAAACAGCTGGGGCACCTGGATCCTAATCCAGATGAAATGATCACCACAGTAGGAATAGACGGGTGGTAGATTGGTTTGCTCTGCTGCTTCACACCAAGGAGGTCCTAGCTTTAAAGGTAGAAGTGGTCCACTGCTGACTTCCTGTGTTCCTGGTCCACCCAGCTGTCTGTGCTCTGGTTAACTAGATAGACTGGCAAAGGATCAACAAGTGTTGTTAAATGGTGGACAATGTGAAATATAAATCGTTATTCATTCATCAGCACACCGATGTTTGAAGTATTTTAATGTGACTGTCTTATGTTGCGTCTTTCGTCCCGTAGAATAATGATTTTAACGTACTAAACTTGTATTATGAGTTAACGAGAGAGGCTGTTGTGTCTTTAAAGTTGTTCCCTCTCCACCTCTCCTGCTGGTTGGCTGTTACACATTAACAGAGTCGGCTTATATATTTCTGCCCAGAGTCGAGTTTACCTTCATTCCTGAACTAAACAAACCTGTGTGACCGTGTGTTGCTTGAGGATACAACACCTTGAATAAATATCTCCACTAAACGGCCGAGGAGGTCATGTTCATGCGGGGCATAAACTAATAGTGGATTAGTTTCCTCTTAATGAGACTCAGCGTTGGTTTTCTGCCCTTATTTGTTAAAAACTACGTTCAAAACTTGATACATAACATGTGAACATATTAATGCACGTAACTAAACAGGACGGTCTGTGTTGTGTCATTTTAAACGGTGTCTGTGATGAAGAACTTATTTATATTGTAATGAATTTGTTCAGATATGTGATGTAAAAATAGACGTTTGATGACAAACGTTGTGTCAGCTGTTATTCGTAAAGCTGACTCCAGTGAAAGCGCCTCCTGCTGCTCTGTGTGAGTGACCTGTAACATCTCTCTTTAATTGCACTTTAAAGTACTTTACTTTCCTCGCTTAATGCTCGACTGACTGTTTGATGTTCAGACTCTTCCTCACTACAGCCTCAACGCGCCGCTTTAACACAGCTAATATCCACTGCAGTGTTCATCTGAGCCGTCAGCCTGAGGCGCGTTCACTCCGTGTGATTCTGTGCATTCACTGCAGCCTCTCTTTATGAGTCGGTCGTACACAGTAGGAGGGTACGAAAACATTGATACAATTCAGAGATATTAGGTTTTGTGATACAGTACAATTTCTCTAAAAATGCATTTGATTTTTAACTAATTACATTCAAAGATTCATGGCAGACCCCGGTTTAAATTCCACAAAAAGCTGCTTTTTTGTTTTTTTACTTGGAGTTTATGCTTATGGCGGCTTGGTCTTTACAGTTTTCTTTTTTTAAAATTCACAATATATTGTTGGTATGTTTGGGCGTTATTACCAAAGACTGTATTTAAGAATTGGACGTAGTCGTCGTTACGTCACCCGTTGGTTTGTGGACTGATGTTTTGAGTCCTCCAGTTTGGCATTTAGGTTGTTTTTTTGCAACCAGTGAACGTAAGTGACCACATTTGGACTGTGGAGGAGTGACGCTGAGGTAGCGACGCTGTATATGGCTCTATTAGCGACCTCCTTCAGGGCAACTGGCTAAATGGAGAGCAGAGTCGTTCTTCAATCAGAGGATTGGCGGTTCGATCCCCGGCTCCGCTAGTCGCATGTTGTGTGAAGACACTTAAAAATTGCTCCTGTAGCTGTGCCTACGGTGTATGAATGTGATAGAATCTGATAGGCAGGTGTGACATAGCACCAGCCATCAGCGTGTGAATGGGTGAATGATGACATGTAGTGTGAAAGTGCTTTGAGTGGTCGGAAAGACTAGAAAAGAGCTATACATGTACAGTCTATTTACCATTTAGACCTGTCAATCACTGTGTAGCCCCGCCCGGTCTGTTTGACTCTAAATGGACCATAATTTACTAAATGATTTTAAACCAAAGAAACATTCAGCAACATGAAGTAAACACTTCAATGGGCTGTGATGAGGTTTTTAATTAACGAGGAGCTACAAGTGTCACAAGACCTTCAAGAGATTCTTCTTCTGTCGCCGTGGTTACTCCATGTGTCCTCCCTCCTTGCTGTTTCTATGGTGACGACCATGTTTCCTCCTCTCTTCTCTCCTCCTCCAGTGTCATCCAGGCTCCGTTACCTCTACCTGTAGACAAGGTAAGAACAGACGTCGTCCTGTCCCGTGTGTGTGTGTTGGGTAGTTTGCACACACAAGTATTCTTTGCACGCACGCACACACACACACACACACACACACACAGTGGAGTAGTCAGATGATAGAGGAATGCAGGGATTGCTGCCAGTTTTAGCCGTCGCTCTACAGAAGTCATTCATCTGGTTGAGGGAGCAAAGTTTTTTTTTTTTTTTATTTATTTATTTATTTATTTATTTATTTATTTTTTGTGCTTTGTGTCTTTAAGACTATTTCAAGTTCAATCAAATAGCTTTTTTTGGGGTCTGTTACATTATACACATCTGCTCTTTATTTTTGTAATTATTATTTTGGGGTTTCATGATGCTGCTCACTAGTTTTGCATTAATTTGATGGAATAATGAGCTAATATCTGTCTATGTAGATGGAAACCTTCATTGCTATACAGCCATTTAAATCTCGGAGCAGACAGCAGCCTGATACACATCACAAGAGTCACGCACTCTGTAGTGTTCCTGCTGAAGTCTTCTTATCTCACTCACCAACATGAACACACGTCTTGTCGAGCACCGTATCGTGTTGAACGACCAGAGAAGCATTCATCAAGGAAAACAGACCCTTTAATGTCAGTTTGCAGGCTAGATGGCTAATTAGCTGAATAGCATGGAAACATGTATGCAATTCGTTTTTTAAAATATCTTGAGATATATTTTTATCGGATTCTTTAAACTCCCAAACATCGACATTAATATCTGCCTCAAAAATTCAAATGTGACACGTGTTATTATACAGTGAGTTGAGCCAATCAGCTCAAGTGTCGGCTTTCAGTGTATAAAGATGACTTCATCATACCACACTGGATTAAACCATATTGAGTCAATCAATACATGGCACACAGCACTGTACTATACTGTGCTACAGCGTCAGGCTAACTGTTGAAGTCCAGACTTTACTTTCACACACTGTCTGGACCGTGTTAGCGTTCTGTTAGCTGCCTCGCCCTGTTCTGTGTTTCCCTGCAACAGTGAGAACAACAGGGCCTCAGTGTAACCTGTCTGAGGAATGTAGGCTGATGGTGTGTGTGTGTGTGTGTATGCTCGTGTACATGTGTGTGTGTGCTCGTGTGTGTTAGGGAGGAGCTGTGATTCGATTTGAACCACTTTTCTAACATAATTAAGTGTCTTTAAGCAGGATCCTTTCGCCTCTCGGGTCTCAGAAACACACACACACTCTCTCTCTCACACACACACGCACGCGCGCACACACGTGCAGACTTAAGGTGTAAAGTACAGAGTCTGTGTGGTTTTTGGACAAGACCATGTGTCAGTGGGTCATGTTGCACCTGCTTTCCCTGCCATTAAGCCTTTTTTAAACATTTAAATCAAGCGAGGAATAGTTGAACATTTTTGAAAATACACTTGAACGTTCAGATGGACATCAATCTCTAGTCTCTGTTACGTACGGTACATAGCTTGTTAGCTTAGCTTAGCATAGAGACTGGAAATGGGGGGGGGGGGGGGGGGAAGTACAACAACGGATACCTCTGAATGTAAGAAAAACAATAAAACACAGGGTGTGGGGATGTGTTTCGGATATTATTTTAAGATGGACACATGGTTGGGGCTGATGGCTGCTGTGTAGGCGCGTGCATCTGGCTCACTGGTCCACCAGTTTGATCACTGGTTTTACTTTATACGTGAACCTGGAGATTCAGGGCTCATCCCCACAGTATTGTGAGGTATGCAAACACTGAATGAACTCCAGACTACTGTCGATATGTTACCGTGATCCGTGTGTGTTTATTTTCTAGGTTGCTGCCAACACTCCCAGTATGTATTCTCAGGAACTGTTCCAGCTCTCCCAGTATCTACAGGTAACACACTGACACCTACTGGTCGTTCTGTGGAACCACACTGACGATAACGAGGCACACGAGTCAGTTCATGTAACAACGGTTTTACTGTTGGATAGGATAAGAAGAGCAGGGCAGGAACCCTGCTTCATCTTTCTTTCATTGATGTCAACTGACCTCATTATATAACATGAAGCATCATCTGTTTTTCATCCATCCATAATTATATCATTAAAAATATAAAACCCCATCAGCAAGTCGGGTACATTACAGGAGAGCGGATCACACGAAATACCCAAAGATGATCAGTGAAGCACAGAAAAGATCTAAAGCTGATGAGTAGGTCTTCATTATTCCTGAAGGAAGTGCCTGGAACTCTTTCCTGAGTACTTATGTAACCTCTTTGATTAGTGAAGGACACGAACCCCACACAGCTGATATTCTCACATAGACACGGGGCCTCGTTACAGAAACTTCCTCAGTCTGGAATCTGTCTGATCTCAGTTTTAAGATGACATTTAGGATTTTTTATTTATTACAGAAACATGTTTCCTAACGATCTTATCTTAGGATGGGTATTTAGCATTACAGAACTGTCCGAACTAAAGGAGTTAGGAAGTTAGGATGGCATAGAAAACGTCTTAAATTCAGTTTCGCAGTCTTGATTTGTCAGACCATTTAAATATCCGCTAGTTAATGTAACCAGCTGACAGCGGTATGAAGAGATTAGCAGGTTGACCGATAGAAGTTAACTAATGCACACAGTTCGTATCATTTAAGGAAATCGTTATTAAGTGAATTGAAAATGAAAGCTTTTTTTTTTTTTTGTTGAATGTTTCCAGAAGAACATATTTATTTATATTACATTCTCTTAATTAATACAAACAACAATTATCACTATTTAATCATAGACTTGCTGCTAATCACACTACTGTCACTTTACCCAGAAATTCTGTCTCCATATGCTTTTTTACGCACCTATTTATTTATTTATTTAGCTATTTATTTATCTCTACCATATCTGTCAACCAAACCTCTCTTGGGATCAATCAAAATGTATCTCATTTTATATATTAAGGTAAATAACCATTGTTCTTATGTGAGTCATTGATTATCCTCCCTCCCTACCTCCCTCCCTCCCTACCTACCTCCCTACCTACCTCTCTCTACCAGGAGGCCTTACACAGAGAGCAGATGTTGGAGCAGAAGCTAGCCACTCTGCAGCGTCTGTTAGCCAACACTCAGGAGGCCTCAGAGAGCAGCTGGCAGGTAAGAAATACCACCATCATACTTTAAACCTGAATGTCACGACACATCCTCTTAGTTGTGACTCAGCATTTTTTACTCCTGACAGTTGAGCCTTCGGTCAGTTTATCTGTTTGCTAATGTAATGGAAGTTATAGCAACTGTGTACATGTGTCCTGTTGTCACACAGACATCATGTATATTAAATGCGATATTTAATATCAATAAATCTACATTTACAGTATGTTGTGACAGTATTGTACTAGTGATATACTTGGTTTTACTGTACTGCTGTGACCAAGTCATATGGAAATTACATGTTGCAACTTGTGAATACAATTTATCGAAAAACTAAAGTGTTTTTTACAACTTTGAATTAAGTTTTCAGTGATAAAGTGTGTTTAAAGCAAACAAGAATGCCTGACATCTGTACAAATGTATCGTGTAAAGTAGGGCTGCAAGATGATGGAAAAAACTGACTTGCCATATTTTTCTGTGAGGGAATTATGACCTAAGCTTGCACTCACACTTGTGTGTGTCCGTCCTCACCAGGCTCTGATTGATGAAGACCGTCTGCTCTCCAGACTGGAGGTGATGGGCAGTCAGCTACAGGCTCACTCGAAGGTAATAATGTACCTTTATGATAGAAATAACTCCTGCAATAAATGGATCAAAATGAAATCAACATTTTCATCCACTTTTATAAAACCATAACTTCTCTGACAGTCCCAGACGGAGGAAGGGATCCGTAAGGAGCTCCTGGCTCTACAGGAGGACAAACACAACTACGAGACGACGGCGAAGGAGTCTCTGAGGAGAGTCCTGCAGGAGAAGATCGAGGTGGTCAGGAAGCTGTCGGAGGTGGAGGTAAGACACACACTCATGTTCATACTAAATGACCACGCTATGAGGGTGAATTTGTCATTTTGAAGTACGTGGCTCATTGTTTATATATACATTTTATTTTGTGGTTTCTTGCAGCGCTCGCTCAGCAACACGGAGGACGAGTGCACCCACCTGAAGGAGATGTCTGAGAGAGGCCAGGAGGAGCTGAGGGAGCTCGCCAACAAGTACAACGCCGCCGTGAACGAGATCAAAGAGCTCACGGACAAAATTAAGGTACCCACACAGACACTGCAGTGTAGGTGTGTGATGCTACTGTAACATCCAACTAGTTATTTTAACTATATTTTATAGACTATATTAAGTATTTGTTATTGATACCAGCTGATTGTAAACCAATCGTTTGTAAAACATCTATAAACCTTACATCGATGGACCAGATTTTTGTAGCACTTTGTTAGTGATTAATAAAGGTTTGTAAGTCTTTTATAAATATTATTTGGATGGTTATTATTAAGTGACAACTGATGATGATGATGATGATACCTTGTTAAATGGTTAATGTAATTAACTATAATAATTACATGATAATATAATAATAAATTAATTATAAGTAATTATTTAGATAGTTGATATTCGTCAGTGGTTAATAATTGGTTTTTGGTCCATCTATCTAAATATAATATTTTGTATTACTTTTCTCTCTCTCTGTTTACCCATTCTTATATTTCTGTCCATTTCTCCTTCTTTCTGACTCTTGACTTCCACCCTTCCTTCTATCTCCCTCCCTCCTCTCCCTCCTCCAGGAGGCGGAGGACAGGCAGGAGGAGCTGACCCAGCGGGGAGCGAAGGAGAAGAGGGAGTTGGAGCTGCGGATCGAGGAGATGGAGGAGAAGGAGCAGGTTCTCCAGGCTCGCATCGAAGCTCTGCAGGCCGACAACGACTTCACCAACGAGAGGCTCGTCGCCCTGCAGGGTACACACACACACACACACACACACTAACATTTAACAAGCTGACACACTGCACCCTGCAAACCAATCACTTTAACTTTAACACGGTGAGCGGGTCAGAACAGGCCTTTGACCAATCATGGGGCTCCGCTGGGACTTCCTGTCAGTCAACGCTTCTCTCTGCTGTTGTTGTTGTTGTTGTTGTTGTTTACAGTGCGGTTAGAACAGCTGCAAGAGAAAAGTATTAAAGAAAACAACAGCCTGGGTGAGTTCTCATGTCTCTGGTCTGCTCCGCTGTTCATCTCTCTGTTGCTGCAAACTTCACTTCCTCATCCTGCACTAATAATGCATGACAACATCCTGTATGGTGTCCACATCACTTCCTGTTTGCTCGCCGGTCTTTTTTTTTTCGTTCATCTGTCTCTGTTGTCTGTCACAGTGGAAGTCTGGCTCTTCTTCTTCTTCTTCTTCTTCTGTTTCGGTCTCTTGACTCCGGCCCTCAGGGGTCCTCTGGTGGTTTACGGGGACGTGTGACGTCGATTCGCGCTGAAGTCGAGATATTTCTCTGATGTTCGGTCTACGTAAACCCTCGGTACACTTCTGTCAAGATCTTGAAGCTTTCAGAGACACTCAGCTGTCACTTTGTTCTAGATTTACATTCAGAAACTTCAAAGTCACCGTGGTAGCAGGTCTGTTACTGTTAATACATCATCAGTCCTCCCTAAATACAGACATTCAAATGTTGAAAACACAATAAATAACGGTTTCACTTTGGATTTAGAATTACAAGCTTTATTCGCGTGCATGCACACTCTTGTAAATAATACTATTAAAATAATCTAAACAAATGTATACTAGGGCCCACCAATAGGTTGATTCCCATATTTATAAATAGTTCAAAAATATAATCAATAATAATATTTGAAATAAACATGTAGCATAAGGAAACATTTTTGATGAGGAGCCCTCGGATTTATTAGTGAATCACAACCAGGATATCGAAATAAGAATATGTCGCTCATACCAATATGTAGGCCTGTCTTTTGGCAAAGTGCGGTTTGGTTAAAGGCAGAATGAGAAGGATTTGTCTGTTTTGTAAATGCAACATTCAAAGTTGGCCCCTCCTCCTCGGCTCAACGAGGATTCAAACATGTGATCTTTTTAATAAAACGTGCCAGAGGAGGCCGGTTGTCTCGGGGACACGGTGGCTCTCTGTGGAACCGGAGCGGGGCTTGTTGGGGGTTTCTGGGTTATCTGGGTCGATTCAATGGGTACAAAACTGTCCACTGCTTTGGTTATTCTTCTTCTTCTTCTGGGGAAAAAGAGCTTCTGGTCACTGATTGACTTCTTGGGTGTTGAATGACGACACTGAACATGAATGCTGGAGGTGATGGCTGCTCACTGATCACTCTTCCTCACTAGCCACTTTGTGAAGGAACCTGCCGTCATTTGAAAAGTTCCGACAAACTTGTGCATATATATATATATATATATATATATATATCTCTGAATCTGATCTGGTCACATGACAGATGTCGACATTGTCTCCCACGGACCAGTCGAGGACAAACGGAGCTGGCAGACACCTGAGAGCCAGGAGGAAGACGAGGATGATGATACAGACACCGATGATGGTGCATTTGGTGGAGATGAAGATATTGATGGTAGTCTGTTTGATTATCATAATAGTAGACATCTTAATATGATATATATATATATATATATATATATATATATACACACACACAGTATATACAGGTGCTGGTCATATAATTAGAATATCAAAAAGTTGATTTATTTCACTAATTCCATTCAAAAAGTGAAACTTGTCTATTATATTCATTCATTACACACAGACTGATATATTTCAAATGTTTATTTCTTTTAATTTTGATGATTATAACTGACAACTAAGGAAAATCCCAAATTCAGTATCTCAGAAAATTAGAATATTGTGAAAAGGTTCAATATTGAAGACACCTGGTGCCACACTCTAATCAGCTAATTAACTCAAAACACCTGCAAAGGCCTTTAAATGGTCTCAGTCTAGTTCTGTAGGCTACACAATCATGGGGAAGACTGCTGACTTGACAGTTGCCCAAAAGACGACCATTGACACCTTGCACAAGGAGGGCAAGACACAAAAGGTCATTGCAAAAGAGGCTGGCTGTTCACAGAGCTCTGTGTCCAAGCACATTAATAGAGAGGCGAAGGGAAGGAAAAGATGTGGTAGAAAAAAGTGTACAAGCAATAGGGATAACCGCACCCTGGAGAGGATTGTGAAACAAAACCCATTCAAAAATGTGGGGGAGATTCAGAAAGAGTGGACTGCAGCTGGAGTCAGTGCTTCAAGAACCACTACGCACAGACGTATGCAAGACATGGGTTTCAGCTGTCGTATTCCTTGTGTCAAGCCACTCTTGAACAACAGACAGCGTCAGAAGCGTCCCGCCTGGGCTAAAGACAAAAAGGACTGGACTGCTGCTGAGTGGTCCAAAGTTATGTTCTCTGATGAAAGTAAATTTTGCATTTCCTTTGGAAATCAGGGTCCCAGAGTCTGGAGGAGAGACACACAATCCACGTTGCTTGAGGTCCAGTGTAAAGTTTTCACAGTCAGTGATGGTTTGGGGTGCCATGTCATCTGCTGGTGTTGGTCCACTGTGTTTTCTGAGGTCCAAGGTCAACGCAGCCGTATACCAGGAAGTTTTAGAGCACTTCATGCTTCCTGCTGCTGACCAACTTTATGGAGATGCAGATTTCATTTTCCAACAGGACTTGGCACCTGCACACAGTGCCAAAGCAACCAGTACCTGGTTTAAGGACCATGGTATCCCTGTTCTTAATTGGCCAGCAAACTCGCCTGACCTTAACCCCACAGAAAATCTATGGGGTATTGTGAAGAGGATGATGCGAAATGCCAGACCCAACAATGCAGAAGAGCTGAAGGCCACTATCAGAGCAACCTGGGCTCTCATAACACCTGAGCAGTGTCACAGACTGATCGACTCCATGCCATGCCGCATTGCTGCAGTAATTCAGGCAAAAGGAGCCCCAAATAAGTATTGAGTGCTGTACATGCTCATACTTTTCATGTTCATACTTTTCAGTTGGCCAAGATTTCTAAAAATCCTTTCTTTGTATTGGTCTTAAGTAATATTCTAATTTTCTGAGATACTGAATTTGGGATTTTCTTTAGTTGTCAGTTATAATCATCAAAATTAAAAGAAATAAACATTTGAAATATCTGCTGTCGCCCCCTAAAAGTACACACAAACAGATCTATGTGGGTCTCTGAGGGGGGTTAACTTTTGATCCAGGGAAATATTGTTCTAGCCTCATTTTAAGTTCACACTCAACAGACATGACATGATGTTCCTGGGTCTTTTAGAGTTATGTTACTGTTCTTTACAATGTGTCGTCTTTGCTTAGATTTTGTCTTCGTAAAAGTCCTTCTCATTTTCTGCGTAGATAACGTCGGCTTACTGAACTCCAGTGAGTCTGTGTTGTTGTCGTTCGGTACATTGTCTGTGCCAGTTGAGGAGAAACTTTTAAGGTCACATCTTGAGTTTCCATTCTGATTCTGGAGTTGAGAGTTCATGCTTCGCTGCAGAAACTCCTCCTGAATAATGCGATGACTGGATTTTTCCATGAAGTCGTAGTTGAGCTGGTTGAATTCCACATGTTGATCTGTAAAGTCAGAGACCGTCTGTCTTCCTGTCTGTCTGTCCACATCCTGTCTGCTGTTACAGTGTTGTGGTATCTGTCCAGAAACACTGTTATTCCTGCCATGGCTTTGATTTTCTGCCCCGCCCGTTTGTTTCTCAAGCATCGATCTGTCCGTGAAGTTATTGATCTCTTTGTTACTCGATAGTTCCTTCATGCTTTCTACCCGCTTGTGTCTTTTCATCATTTCTGTCTTCGGCTCTCTCTGCTGCATCTCGTCCTCTTCTAATACAGAGTTGGGTATTGAAAGGAACAGGTTTGTTTAAATTTAAATTCTGCTCATCGATTCTTCTGCTCTTCAATATAGAACATAGCTGGCTATACATGCATCAACATGTGTGTTTTGACCAGATCAAGTGCTGGTTAGTCGTGAAACTACGGAAGCCCTGAGAGGCAAGTGAGAGAACAAAGTTCTGGTGACCCATTTTCAAAGTCTGATCTAAATGATTTATTTCTCCAGTCTTAAGTACAAATGGGAAAAAAGCTTTAGTCTGAACAATTTTCTAGGTTACTTCATTTTACTTCCATTTTTGAAACTTTTCAGAGTTTCTTTTTCTTTCATCTGTGAAAATATTCTTTTTGTCCGGATCAAGAAGTGTTTGTTGTTGTAATACTCATTTAGACCACAAGAGGCAGAAGTGCCCGTCATGTTCTAAACAGGATGAAAAGCCTTATTTTGTCCTTCATTGATTCATTTTCTTCCAGGTGAGCTTAACATTTGTCCATGCACTCAAAACACGAGGTACGTGTGTATATATAGTAACTTCATTTCAGCCTCTTGTGGCTGAAAAACAGCTGAAAAAACAGTAACTTCAAACATGATCCTGGCAAAAACAAATGTTCACCTGTTAGTCAAAAACACAGGAGCGAAAACATCGTAGAAAACAGACCAGATTTTTATTTTTAGCCTCCAAACATTCTGAAACGATTAGATTCAGTTAGATGTTGCATCGATGAGCAGAATCAATCGAATCTGAAATAAATACCCGAGTCCTCTCCTGATCGTCCTCTTAGTAATGTCAGCGCTCTGTTTTTCTATCAGACAACTGTCATGTTAACAACAGCGGAGGAGACTCGACTAGAATCCAACAGTTGATTGAGTGTCCGCGTGAGTACAATCACACATTCCTACTGTGTGCTCACACACACACACACACACACACACACACACACACACTCCCATTGCTGCTAGGACAAGTCAAAAAAAGAAAGGCATGTTGCATCAAAATGATAAAATATTAAGTCAAACGTTTCCTTTCTCAGTCAAAATGATCAGATAAATCAAAATGTTTAACCTTTTCATCATTTACTAATGTGATATTAAAGCTATAGTTTGTATCTTAGGTCATATTTACTCAAATTGTCACTAAGTCCTGAGCTCATAAGATAGATAATCGTAATAGTTACTCTGCCTCCTTGTAAGAACCAATCAGAGCAGAGGAGTCTCTGACGTAGCTGTCAATCACTGCTGTTGAAGCCCGTGAACTACAATCAGATCAAATATGAATCTGTGGCAGCTGTCAATCACTGTGATTGGCAGTGATTGACGGCTGCTTCAGAGACTCTGATTGGTTGTTTTTCATCGGACACGGTGGAATCCTGCAAACGTCATGAGGACTAAAGGGAGCCCCAGGAACCAGATTATCTGTCTCGTATACTACGATCAGGACATAGCGACAGTTTGAGCGCATAACATATAATTTAAGACTTTTACTTATTTCATGACACAAACATGTCTTTTCTCATAATTATGTTTTAATAAGTAATTATTTTGTCTTAGTATCTCAGCATTTACGTGATTATTTTTATTTACATGCCTAACATTTCTTTTCCTGGTGCTTCTCCACTTATATAATATATATTTATATATATTTATATTTATATATTTATATATATTTATATTTATATATATTTATATATATACACACACACACACACACACACACACACTACATATCCTCCAGAGGAGCGCATGATGTGGATCTGTTACTGTTAAACTTCAAATTGACCCAGATGTCATTTTGACATCTTGGCAGAACTCGTTTCTTTTCCAGATGTTTTTTCTTCCATTTTAAGATCCATCCGAGTAAATCTGGTGACTGTGTAAAGAAAGTCATAGCCGACATCTTTGACTTGAGTTGTACAGATAAGCATATCATAAGATAGTTGTTGTATTATACATAAAGCCAAAGTGTTTCCGCTTACCTCCCACCTAGGATCCATCCATGCAGATAGTTTGTTTCATTTGTGCAGGTTTTAAGACCTCAACACAATAGACTCGAATATGTTTATTTGTGTTGCTGAAAGCATCCAAAAGTTAAACTTAAAAATCTGGAGAGCGATATCTCTATCCAGAGAAACGATGTCCCCGTTATTCAGAATAATCACAGACATCACTGTCTACAAAAATCTGAACGGTGTCGTATTCGGTGGTTTATCGTGAGTAACCAGGAGAGAATACGCTGAGGGCAACATAATATTTGTTGTTGTTGATTTGAGTGAAGGGACCTTCTAAACAAACCAACTTGTACAACGTGAACATGTTCTTAGATATTTGATTTCTTTGTGTGTGTATCTGTGTCTCGCTGCTGTCTGAACGGTCTTGCTGCAGCTCTCTGAACTTGTCCGGTAGTTGCAGGTTTATCTGGTGCTCTGGTGGTTGTTTTGTGGTTTGTTTTGGTTCTGTAGCTCCGGTCGACCGGTCGGTCCTCAGCTTCTCTTCTTCTTTAGCAGATCTTCCCATCTTTAGTTTCTGCATGCTGACTTTGTAGCTCTTCACTGGATTAGTTCGCTAACCTCCTGGTTTCTCTCTCCTCGTGTTGCTGTTGTGAGAGAAGTAGTTTAGCAGCTATTCTAATGGACGGCTTAAATACCTGAAGGAGTTATTAAAGTGTCAAGTTTGTGGAAACTTCCCTTGATTGCCTACATTTTTACCAGCTCTTTTCTTTGTTTGCAGCTGGCAGAGACGTTTGCTGCTCTAATGACTGTTATTACTGTGGTGCAACACACACACAGAAGAAACTAATTCTCCTCTTTGTGACTAGGAATCATAACTAGTGCAGAGCGTTTGCATTTGGATGTATCGAGTTGTGGATTTATGTTTATCGTGGGAGCAGCTGATAACAGCACAGCCAAGTCTAGGCATCAGTTTTAATGGGCTAGACTTGGTTAAAAAGTTGAAACAAGATTTATAGAACATCTGTCAATGACTTTGTTTTAACATGTAGTGGGTTTTATTATCCAAGTGAGATTCCATAGAGGTGATGATGCTTTGTTTACTTCCATCTTTAATCTGGAATAGTCTTTATTTGACATGTTTCAGACAATAACCCTCTCCAGAGTAACTATACAACATAACTGTACTACAAACTAATTTATTCTGTGTACAGTGGTGTCCACAGTTCATGTACTTATCCATGTAATACTGCAGCGTGTCATTTTAATATTTACAACACAATACTGTCTCGGCTAACACAGATTCCTTTGATGTATAATGTCTGAAGATGAGCACAACCTCACTTATCTGACCAACCTCAGAAGCAAAAGTGAAACTTTATTTCACTGAGATTCTACACTTAACATCTGGACTAACCAGCCACCGATCCAGCTGTTACCTCACCCCGAGTCAGTGTAAATGATTAACAGGGTGTTCAGTTGGCCTATTGAACGTTTGCAGAGTTTGGGATTGATCAAATAACCATATAACCAATTTAAACTGATTGATTCACTGATTCTCTGTTTTCTTATTCTCTCCCTGCAGCGGTCAAACAGCTGAAGGAGACTGTGAGTTCTTCAATCCACAAATTGGCCAACTTTGCCGGTAAGAGCTCAGCTGAACTTCAAGTAAAAAGTATCAATTAAGTCCTGGAGCAGTTGAGTCGGTGAACGAACACCAGATATCAGAGAGAAAACAAACTGAACTTGATGAAGCAGACTCCGGCTATGAACCGAGAATTCATCCCCTGTGTTTATATGTATGTGTTTGTAGAAGTGATGGACGCTCACCTACAGAACAACCAGACCACAGAAGACGATGACATCTTGGCCAGCCCTGACCGACTAAAAGGTAGAGGACACACACACACACACACACACACACACACGGTTTTGAATGAAAGGGTAGATTTTCACTGTTGGCATCACCGCTGCAACACCAAACGGCTTCATCGTACAGCGCAGCTTCAGAGTTTCGTAGCTTCATGTAGCTGTAGCTGCAACGTTAACACAAACTATACATCCAGCTCTACCCTCTACGGGTCCCAGCTGCTATAAATCTACCAATATCATGTGTTGTAACCATGTTTTCATTGTGTGATGTGTTCAGTGATGACTGGCTTTTTGTGAAGTCACAAAGGATAAAATTGCTGACAGGAACACATCCTACTACAGTGACCTCTGTCTCTCGCTGTTGTGAGAGACCTGACTGTTTGTCATCCACACACAAAGCTCAGGCTCATCAGCAGCCACAATACATTTCCTCTGGACACATGGAACCCCCAACCTACATGTGTGTGTGTGTGTGTGTGTGTGTGTGTGTCCACAGGCAATCCGATGGATGCCAAAGAGTCAGACATGTCAGACACTCTGAGTCCCAGCAAAGACCGCAGCAGTGACGACACGTCAGGTCAGTACAAACGCACACAATGATTCATGTTGGAACCAGAAGTATTTCACTTCAGTTTGTGAATCTGTCGTTCCCTCACGTCTCATCCATCTGTATTTGTATTAATAGTGTTGAAGTCTGTATGAGTGTATGAATTCATCATGGAATAAGTAACCTGAATAATATATTTAAATTTATTTTCTAATATGGTTATTGATAATTCAGAGTAGGACATGAATTGTCTCTGTGGGACCAGTCAACACCAGCTGAAATTAAAACACTTATGTGTCTGTTAAAAAGATAGATAGATAGATAGATCGATCTATGTGTATATGTGTGTGTGTATATGTGTGTGTATATATATATATATATATATATATATATCATATCTGTTTTGTGTTGGTTTACCTTGTGGCTATTTTAAAAAGCATTCCAAGTGTTTTTTCTATTCCATTTTGAATTAATTTGCCATGAGAAACATAAATAAGTGTGTGTGTGTGTGTGTGTGTTTCAGACGGCAACATGGACGACCAGGAGCTGATCGAACCACAGAACAGAGTAGCTCTGCTCAAAGGTAACCATGGCAGCTCATCTCTGCTTTGTAGTGCTCTGTGCTGCAGCAACAGACCATCAACTCAACAGACATCATTCAGTCATACACTCAACTGTCCACTAGGGGGAGCTCTTCGCTTGTGTTGGCTGCAATTCCTTTTTTTTTTTTTCATAAAGAAAATGTATAAATGTTGACTTACTGTGTGTGTGTGTGTAGCTGAGTTGCATCGGGCCGGTCTAGAGCCTGGAGACACGGAGCAGGTCATCCACCACCTCCACAGAGAGCTTCTGGACGCCCAGGAATTAGCCAACACCGGCAAGCAGAGATGTCAGGACCTACAAGGTAACAGTTTAAAATCATCCACTAGATTTAACTCAGATGTGCTGTGACTTCATCCCAGCTCCAACCAGGGTCCACAGATTCTTGTTGTGAGGACATTTAATTAAAACAATATTGCTCTCATTGTACGTCACATGACGTCATGCCAGATTAAGATGGTGACCACATGACTGTTTGTCTGTAGCTCTGCTGGAGGAGGAGAGGAGGAGTAACTCTCAGCAGACTGAAGAGTCGACCAAACAGATCCAGTACCTGCAGAGTAAGTGAATACACACACACACACACACACACACACACACACACACACACACACACAGAGTATACTACACGCCTGTATACATGATCACCTTACTCCCATCTAACTTCTCTTTGTGTGTGTGTGTGTGTGTGTGTGTTTAGCTCAGCTTGGGAAGCTACAAGCCGACATGGAGGCACTGAGAGAGCAGAGGGAGAGCACCATCTGCACCACCAGAGAGGAGCTCTACTGCGCCCAGGAGGAGGTACCCCTCCATGTCATTCTGCCTTCTACTCCTCTGATTCCTCACTCTGACTTCTCCTCCTGACACCCTTGTTATTACCTCTGATGCCTCTTTGACTCCTTCCCATCCAATTCCTCCTGACAGGTCCCCAACTCCTCTGAACTCCTCTCTTGACTCCCTTTTTACTCCTTCCTCGCTCCTCCCAACTCCCCTCTGACTCCTCACAGCCCCATCTTACGCTCCTCTTATGTTCACAGTAGGAGCAGAAAAAGAGCAGCTCATCTTTGATTTGTAGCAACAATGTCGGGCGTCCGTTTGTAGCTTTATGTCACCATTGAAAATAACTTGTAGCTCATTGCTTTGCCGGAAAAAAAAAAAGTGAAGCCAATGTAGAAGTGTCTTAAACTTGCATTCTCTCTAGTGTCCATCAGGGGGCGACTCCTCTGGTTGTATAGAAGTCTGAGAGAAAATGACTCTCCTTCTCTCGATTTATTACCTCAGTAAACATGAGTTTATGGTCTCAATCTCTAGTTTCAAGTCTTCTTCAATACAGCATGATGTTCATTTGGTAAATTATGGTCCATTTAGAGTCAAATAGACCATAAAGCAGGGTATGATTTGGGGCATAAAACTCAGACCCCTTCTTGTCCAGAACAGACTTCCTGTCTGTCGGTTTACAGTAAATCTCAGTCACGTGACGTCACTGATTGTGTTTGTTGCTGTCAGATCCTCGTCCTGCGTCACGCCATGGAGACGGCCACAGCGGAGCGGGAGCGGGAGATCGCCGCCCTGCAGGCCGACCTGGGCGTCGTGCGGTCCGAGCTGGAGCAATGGAGGGACACGGCCGCCAAGTACGAGAGCGAGATCAGCCGGCTGCAGGAGTCCTTCACGCAGCAGCAACAGCAGCGGAGCACCGCCAACCAGCTGCAGGGTGAGAAGAGGGTCTACTGTTTTAGTTTGTTTGAATCAACATCAACAACATGTCGGTTTTAATTGTAACTATACTTCCTCTTCCTCTCCTTCAGCGGAGTGCGTTATGTTGCAGCAGCGATGTGTGTGTTTGCAGCAGGACTGTGACGGTCTGAGAGGTGAACGGAAATCTCTAACGGACAGACTGCACGGCCTGGAGAATGAGCTGAGCAGGTACACACACACACACACACTTTACATGACACCTTATGTTTTCAGGGGTTACCTTCGTTGACACTTTCAGGTGAAGAAAAGACGTCTCGTGCAACTGAGATGGATGTGAAATTGTAGCTTTTGTCTTGCTTTGTTTTTAGTTTGTGAACACATCTTCATACATGCACAGGTCAAAAACACAGACCATTAAAACATCTGTCCAAGATGGTGAAAGAGATCATGGAGATATTAAACAATCGTGACATCACACAGCAATGTTTGTACTTCATGTCTTGGAAACTCTTCTCTGACACGAACCACAAGTGAACAAAATGGCCCCGAAAATATCAGAATCAGTTTAATCCCAGTACTTCTTTCATGAATTTAACACATTTGTATGTTTGGTTTTAAGCAAGCTGTACCTTGAGAATAGTGAAATCCAAACTATTACTTTTTAACTCTTGTAAGTAGCCAAAAAAATAATAATACAACCATGAAGGAAGTTTATTCATAAGCTGAACTCAAGCTGACAGAATTTAAAAGATTTATTCGCTGTAAAACTTTTGTACTGTAATAAATATTTTTTAGTTGATAAAAAACAGAATTTAATATACTAAACGTTGTATTGAGAAGTACCCAAACATCTTAAATGAGTGTAAAAGGTGAGGATCGACCCAGAACATGGACGTTTAAACTGGACCTAAAGTCTGTGTGACAGCCGTGATCGAGTTTAGGAATTCTGACCTCAGCACAGCTGACAGGAACGCCGCCCAAGTCCAACGGTCCTGACAGGTTCAGAGTTTAGATTCAGCACTAAAAGACAAACTGAGGACGAGATGGACTGAAGGAAACCTGGTGTCCAGCTGATTCAGGCAGAACGGGACGAGAGGGCGACAGCTGACTGACTGAACCAGAGCAGTCAGCAGCTTTTTTTATCCGCAGCTGTGTTTAGCTTCCAATAAACTGCCGGTGCCGCTGGCAGCTCTTCTCATTAAATATCTGACACGCACCACTCGGGTTAAACTGCAGATGTCTGCTGTCTCATCCCTCCTGTACGACCACAACCTAAACGTCTTATGTTGGAGTCTTGCCTCATTCAGCTACATGCAAAACATGCAAATGCTCTTAAATAAACTGTTAAGTATTAGTAGTATTATTATGGATGCACCTCACCTAAAATACAGTCCACCTGCCCAAATGTTAGAAGTGTTTACAGTTTTATGAAATGTAACTTTAACCTTCAGGGGGAAAATAGCAGAGGGTTGTTAATCACACACCAAACTGTTGATGTCACCATGTAACATCTAAATAGATCACAAGAGGTGATCAATGTACATTTGCTTCCAGGTGATAAATCAGGTCAGCACGTTGCAATGTTTGCTAAAACACTGTGTGTGTGTGCGTGTGCGTGTGTGTGTGTGTGCGTGTGTAGCACCAGGGAGCAGAGTCTGGTCCTCAGCAGCAGTCTGGAGTCTCTGGAGAAGAGGGAGGAGGATCTGCAAGACAAACTGGGTTCTTTGGAGAATCAACACCTGCAGGACGCAAGCAAGCTGAAGAGCCAGCTGGACCAGGCCCAGGCCCACACACACACACTGCAGAGAGAGGTACACACACACACTGCAGAGAGA